CCTTGTAATCTTTTCTCACATGACTTCTAGACAACCACATCCTTGGTTTTCTTCTAACCTCGTTGACTGCTGCTTCTTCTTTCTCTGCTTCTTTTCATCCTGGGCCCCTACATGTTGGAATATCCCTTGCTCTGCCCTTAGCCTCTTCTCTTCCCCATCCATGCTGTTCCCTTTAGTGTTCTCATCTGGTTTTTGACTTTAAATGTCAGCTGCATGCTAATGATGGCCACATTTATTTTTCAAGTTCTGACCACTCCTTTAAGTGCAGCTGTCTTTTTTCCACACCTTAAGCTTTGTTCCTACATGTCCACATTCTTCCCAAGTCCTTTTTCACTGCTATCTCCTGATGTGGATCTGGATAAACACTGCATTACTAACTGCAAGGTCAGTAGTTCAAACCCACCAGCTGCTCTCAGAAATGCTATACAGGGTTGCTATGAGTGAGGAATGACTCAACGGTACACAACAACAACACCTCCTAGTCTAAGCCCCCATCTTATCTAGTGTGCACATCCGTATTAGTCTCCTAACTGGTCTTTCAGTTTCTAGTTTTACCTCCTCCTCTATCCTTCATATGATAACTAGAGAGATCCTTTAAGTCAACATTAGATCATGCCATTCCACTGTTTAACACCCTTCACTACATTTTCATTCTTCTTAGAGTAAACTTTACACACCCATTGTGGCCTCTCATTCCCTCTGTGGTCCAGCCCTGGTCTCTTTCTGATCTCTTCTCCTCTGCATTCCCATTCTGCTCACTACACTCCAGCTGTATTTGCTCCCTGTTTTCCTTTTCTCACACATGCCAAGGCTTTTGCAAATGCATCCACAAGATGTTTAAAGCAGATGTCTTCCTACCATCCTACTTTGATTCGAATGTTACCTCCTTAGGGAGACTGTGTCGAATCACTCATTTAGAGAAAGTACTTTCATCTTTATTGACTATCACAGTCCCTGCTTTGTTTTACTAGTCACTTTCTTTGTTTTACTTGTCTGTCAGTCCATTGTACTATGGTGGCGAATGAGTTACTATGATTCTGGAAGCTATGTATGGCACAGGTATTTTAAATACCAGCAGGATCACCCACGGTGGACAGATTTCAGATGAGCTTCCAGACGAAAATAGACTAGGAATAGGAGAGACAAACTACTTCCAAATGTTTAGTTACTGAAAAGTTTATGAATAGCTGAGAAACGCTGTTAGGTATAGTGCCGGAAAATAAGCCCTTCAGGTTGGAAGGCACTCAAAACGTTACTGGGGAAGAGCTGCCTCCTTAAAGTAGAGTTGACAGTAATGACCGGAAAGGAGTCAAGCCCATGGGAGTAAAGCCCTCCGGACCTTCATTTGCTGATGGGGCACAACTCAAAATGAAGGAAAACAGCTGTAAACATCCATTGAAAATCAGAACATGGGATGTATGAAGTATGAATCTAGGAAAATTGGAAATTGTCAAAAATGATACGGAACACATAAACATCGATATCTTAGGCATTAGTGAGCTGAAATGGACTGATATTGGCCATTTT